CTCATTAAAAATGACTTTGAACCATGAAGATGTGTACTCATTTAAAAACTGTACTGCACTTCTGATAACCCAATGCTGAAAGAATTGCCAAATATTATATCGCTTTCTGATGTGTCTGAATTTTCTGGTAGAGATCTAGTGGTTGTTATTAAGGGCATATGCGTGCAGCATTGTGGTTAATAGATGACTTGCGATCACGAATCTCGGTACCGTAAACAAGATTGGGACATCTCTTGTAAACACTGATAAGATTGTCTTAAGAACCTCTTGTGTTTAGGAAGTATCATGTTAGGAAATGATTAGAAATTTAGTACTTCAAAGATGAAGAGAATAGCAGGGAAGATAGTTTCCTTAGGCAGTAATCTCGTGTGTGAGTGATCTTAATTTCGAATTAGGCTTCTTTGTGAAGAATGAAGACAAAATATTTCAATTTTCGAATCTAGAGAAACTTAACGGAAATTTAATTTCTGAAATCTGTTTTGGAAGTTAAGAGAATTCTTAGTGAGGAAAATATTTATTTTGAAAGAAAATTTTGTTTATCCCTTAAATATCTAAACTCATAGTACGCTTATTCATTTTAATCAACTTTCTTTTCTTTTAGGATCTGCTTGGATGGCACTCTCTCGACCTTTCATTGACTATTGTATATGGGGTTGGGACAACTTACCGCGAACTGTCCTTATGTACTATGCAAACTTTATTTCCTCTCCCGAAGGCTATTTCCATACTGTAATCTGTAATGCTCCAGAGTTTCAGAATACCACGGTGAACAGTGATCTACATTTCATATCCTGGGACAATCCGCCAAAGCAGCATCCTCACTACCTAAATGTTGATGACATGAAAAGGATGGTCGACAGTAATGCTCCATTTGCAAGAAAGTTTCACCATGATGACCCAGTGCTAGAAAGAATCGATTCTGAGCTCTTGTTTCGGGGCAAAGACATGCTTGTTCCTGGTGGATGGTGCACAGGTAACCGGGAAAATGGAACCGATCCATGCTCAACTGTGGGTGATATCACACTCCTCAGGCCTACTGCAGGTGCAAAGAGGCTAGAAAATCTGATCAGCTATCTTTTATCGAATGAGAATTTCCGACCAAGACAGTGCAAATAGCAAAACCTATTTTAGGAGGCTGATTGTTTATGATAGCGGCAAAAAGTTGAACAACCAGGTATTCATTTCCTTTTCTGTTAGAGAAAGACTGCTCAGGGCTTGCTTGATCCCTGTGTGTTACAGAGTTTCTACTCAAATTTGTATTCTGTGGGAAGAGGTTACAGATTGCAGGAGACTTTGCATAAGTTCTGATCTTGATAGTAGAATTATAACCATTTTTCCTTGTAATTATCCGGGCCTACTATTTCCACTCAATGGAGCACTTCACCGAGGTGAATTTCATGAAAGTGAACGCAGACGAGTTTTTGTCGTTACTTTGTGTATCAAATTATCCTGGAATTTCTTTCTTTCAATTCATTAATGCAAGACAAAGTGATTTAGAGATACTGTTCCACCTTCTACCTCCACCACCACCTCCGATTCCCTTCTGCCGCCTTGCCAAGTTGTGATATTCAGTGATGATATACTTGTAGTAATTAAATTCTTATTTAGCATGGTTATGAATTATTTCCTTGTGGCTGCTTGAATGCATGTTTGTTCTTGTGGTTCCTAACTCAAAGATTAGGATATAAAGATTTCAGTGCAGCATCCCCCTATTGCAGGAATAAATGTGAAAACTCAATCTTTGGATCTCCAATTCTAGGATGGTTGGGAAGTTTAAATTGCAAGATGGCTATGCCTATGTTACTCACACTTATGGTACCTCCGGTAAGGTCGACTCAATAATAGTGACCAGTATTACCGAAGAAACAAGAAGTTTAAGCATGAAGATTAACCAATCCAATACTTCTAGCAAAACTTCTGCTTTCTTGAAGTCTTGGCTAGTAATGTTCTTACTAATTCAATCTTCTCAACGGGGCCTCTAATTGCTATCTCTGCTCCTCGATCAAACAACAAAAGCAGCCGTTTGATCCTATGTGGATTGTACCTACGTACTAATCGTGGTCGTCCCTGGGCCTTCTGCACCCATATTTTTAACTCGTTCTCCTAATTTGTTTGCTTACCATGAGGTCTTTGTGTCGATTGAGTTCAGTATAGTATTGGTTTTTTTATATTTTAGAAATGAAATTGTATCTGCCTTGCCCGACCATAGGCTGGATTAAAGCTCAAGGTCTTGGTTGCTTAATAGTTTATATTCAAAAAATAAAGACAAATAAACAAAGATTTACAATCTATTATATGTTATTGCTGCGAATAACTTAGAATTTAATACACGTTTGACAGATATGACGTGCCTCCTTTAGAAAGAAACCTCGTAAGCAAAGTTATACATTACAATCATTACTATTAATTCTTTATCAAGTCTACTGAAGCAAAAAAGAGTACAAAGAAAATAAAAACATTTCAGATCTTATAATCTGCTCAAAAAGTAATAATAAATAAATAAAAATGTATAGATAGTACTAAAAAAGAAAAAAGAAGTTAAATTGATAATTTTATTAAGTATTCTGCACAAAAAAAAAAAAAAAAAAAAAAAAAGCATGAACAAAGTTAAACACTCATAGTCATTTCGAACATGATATCATAGAGCATGACTTTGACGAGTAATCAATTCCCAACACCCAGTCAACAACTAGATCTATGATCGCTGCCAGCGATCGACTAAAGCCCTTTTACATTCTTCAAATCAATCAATACAAGAATGCATGTATAGGAATTGGAAATACATGTAGAGGCTAAGGAAAATAGACATTTTTATTTTATTAATGGAATAAAATAAGACAAGCATACAACACAAGAATTAGCACCTAATTCTTAAGTAGACATATGTTCACCGCCCCATTTATCCGGGCAGAATGTTATAACATACTCATCAGAATCACAGTTAACCAATGGAGATGGTGTTTCAAAGGCATAACTGACATAAGAGGGACAAGCATCCTTAAACAATTTCGAATACAAACTAGGTTTGCACTTTTCTGGGCTGCCGTATTCATTCCTGCAACAGAATGAATCAAGATCATAAGCCAAACAAGCACTCTTGCAAGCCACAACTTCCCTTTGACCATTCACTACTTGGAGCTCAACTGGACACATGCTTTTCAAATTCTTCCAGCACCCTCCGATGTGACATTTTCTTGATAATGTCTTTGTGTCAACTGAAACCGGGAGATTATAGCCGTCGACAAGACTAACATCATAGAAACTTGGTTTTTTCGCATCGACCTATGTGAAACGATAAAATTTAAATAAATAAACGTGTCAGATTTCCAATAATGTAAAATTCTAGATAATGTCATTAAATATAACATCCTCAACCTATTGCTCGAGTAGCAAGATGATATTCAACCTTACATTGTAGTTGAATATTTAGTCCTCGATGAATATTGTCCAACATTATTAAACTATAAATTTCCGTGAGAGATTCAAATATCATACTATTATCAGGGACTCATTTGCAACTATAATAAAAGGTTTAGAACCAATTTACTCCTTTTAAATTTTGGGGATGAGTATGGCAATTCTCGCATTACACATGTTAGGCTATTGATGAAAAAAGTATCTTCAAAAGTTCAAATAAATAAATGTGCATCATTTCTAGGAAAATAAGCTATTAAACGAGATAGTTCATTGACCTGCAGTGCAAATTCAACTAGTGTAGCTGGAGGAAGGCCTATGATTCCATTGCACTCGAGTTGTCCATTGCAATCGCCTGTTTCACAGACAGGCCTACGATTCGAGTTGAAATTGCAGCCCGTCCTTGCCCAAATGCGCCCACTCCAGTCTCCCGGGGCCTGGAATTTTCGGATTTTTCCCGGTGGTAGATAGAATCCTCCCTTGGCTATAACTGGATGGCCACTGTTTGGGGCAGTAGCAGGCCATATAGGAAATGGACATTTGTTACTCACATAGAATGTGCAAGCTTGTACTACTAAGTTTCCTGCATATAATCGCCCAAAAACAAAATACGAAGTATGACTACGGCTTATTCTTAATAAATTTGCAATCCACAAAAAGTAACAAAATGTAAATTACCAGATGAGCCCAAGTTCCATATCAGGAAGAGAAAGAAAGCTACAAATTTTCCCAGAAAATGCATTGTGGATTCGAATCTGATAGTAAATTTGATTGCAAAAAGTACTTGTACATATATTTAATTCCTAAGAAGCTGCTTTGATTCTACTTCAAGTTAATAAATTAAGTCTTTAAGATGAAGAAAAACACTCTTTAAAAAAATCGAGAAGGATAGAAATGGTATGATCCAGATTAAGAAGAAAAGTTCACATTAGGTGTCTAAGAAAAATTGACAGTTGCAAAAGAGTTTTAAGCATAATCCAACAATCAATTGCTTTTAGGGTGAGAAATCATCTCGGAAAGCCAAGTGTTATTCTTCGTTCATTCAATCAAATATCATCCTAAAAAACTGATTAGCGCACTTGACGACCGCTCATCTTATTTATTTAACCAAACAAAAGAAGCGGCACAAACTGTTCATTTGACAGATACAAACAATCCAACGTTAACAGCATTGTTCTAATGGAAACTGTAACATTTTAGGCAGTTACCGGTTGTTTTATATGGTGGATTCTAATGTTAGATATTTTTCATCATTTTGTATTTATTTATTTTTTGTTTTCCGAATGATTTGCTGTCCCGACTAGTGTTTGTCGCTGAGCAACGGGGATCGACCTACCCGGTCAGGTCGTGAGGGTTGAGGGGGCAGCGCCCCCCTGTAGGGGCTCGGGGGGCAACGCCCCAGAAAGAGAATTTTATTTTCAAAAGTCTTTGAGTAGGTGCATGTGTTCGTTTTTTGACAGTTACTTTCAACAGATGTGTTCTTCATTTCAAGGGACACCTATTTAAACGGTTGCCTCAATTTCTATAAATTCTAGGCGAATTCTCGTTTGCAAGACACATTAAAAATAATCTTCTCTCTTTCTCTTGGCATCATCAGTTTTTTTTTTCGAGTGTCTTCTTGGTTTGATCAAACAGTCACAATTTGAATCAAACGCCTCTATTGTATCCTGAGAGATTTTCTATCATACTCTAGTCGTGATTTCGTTGGATGGGGGAGAAACATCTCTTAAAAGCTAACGTTTTTCGTGCCTTGGAGTTCATTAAGTTTTCAGATTTTCCTACATTTTACTCAACATCTAACACTATTGGACAATAATAAGAAAAATCTTGTTAGTCTTCTAGTCCAGTTCAATCAACTACTGCACCCCAAGCACGTATTTAGTGCGATGACTACTTGATCCCGGCGAAATTGTTTATGTAACTAAAGGTTTATTTTATCTGTTTTACAAGTTACTTGTTTTATTTCAGCTCTAGATCAGACATTGATCTGATTAGGTATAAATAGGATATTATAATAGGATTTGAACATAGATTGACTTACGATTTGCAAAGCATGTTCAATTATGGAAAATTTATTTATAAAAGCTGGGATTTTGTATGCTGAGTGGCAGGTGAACATCCCTTTGATCTGTCTTTCGGTTGGTTTTCTATTCGAACTTCAATTTTTTTAAAGATAAAGTTAGATTTGTATTTGAAATTATAATGTTTATTAACTATACACATTACAGTTTGTGACAATTTGTTTATGAGATTGGATTTTGATTGCAGAGGGGCAGGTAAGGATCTAAGATCCAGTTTTTGAAAATTGACAATACAATATGCATGTAAATTTATAATTTTTTTCCCTCTAAATTAGGTAAACTGGTTTTTGAAAATAATGTATTTTAGTTTGCATTAAAAATTACTACTTGGTGATAAAAATTAAGAGCGGTCCAATGGACTTGCTAATCCACTTTCATCAACTTCTAGTAGATAAAGATCGATGTTAATTTAGAAATGCTTGTTATGTTGAACCAAAAACTATGTTATGTTAAACTACATTATACAGAAGATTCAAATTCCTAGAGACAATACATATTTATTTATTCGAATATTGTCTTTGATAATGGCGAAATTAAGATTCAAAATCATTGAAAGAAGAATTCAACTATAAAAAAATGTAATAATATCGGAAAAAATTTCATTGAAACAAAAATTTAACCCCAACTCCCTTCTCCACTATCATTTCTCACATCATTCACGAGCATACTAAATTTATATATTTCTCAAACGCTCAATATATAAATTTCATAACTGATTGACAGAAAGACTTGAATTCAAATATTTTCTAATTAAATTTTAACATGAAAAATGTTGGAAATCTACTTATACATGAACAGCGAAATTTAAAATAATTTTCGATTCCCACCAAGAATCGTCTTTGTGTTTAGATAGAAATTGTGATAAGATTGTACCTTTTTCAGATCTGCAATCCTTTTGCTTTTCTTTTCGTTCCACAGCCTTGATTCGCCACCACAACTGTCCAATTGTCCAGCCTCCAACGGTAATCCACAGAGAGAATATGATTGCAGCCTCTAGGGTTTTCTCTTGTGCAAGCAGAAATAATGAAAACCTTAATGGACCTCAAACCCTAGTTATGTATTTATATAAACCCAAACAGGTTCGGCTCGGTCCGGTCCAATAATTAATTAATCCAATTAATTAAACCCGGTCCGTGAATTAATTAATCCAATTAATTAAT